CGGTAGTCTTCGAACGGTATTCCATGTTTTGTAAGCTCTTCAAGATTGAACTCTGACAGAGCAGAGTCTAATATTTCTTCTACATGAATAAAGAAAATGAAATTTCTTCATCATCTACTCTCATTCCTTGGATATTCACCGTTCTTAAAACTACCAGCAACTGCTCTTGATTATTTACATAATAATACTTCGCAAGTGTAATATTAAAATAGTTCATTAACGACTTCTTTTGAGAAGATCTGTACTAGTTTCTTCTGGACGTTATGTCTCAAACAACGACTTCTTTTGAGAAGATCTATACTAGTTTCTTCTGGACGTTATGTCTCAAACAACGACTTCTTTTGAGAAGATCTATACTAGTTTCTTCTGGACGTTATGTCTCAAACAACGACTTCTTTTGAGAAGATCTATACTAGTTTCTTCTGGACGTTATGTCTCAAACAACGACTTCTTTTGAGAAGATCTATACTAGTTTCTTCTGGACGTTATGGCTCAAACAACGACGACTTTTTTCATTGTTTAGAAACTAACGAACGTTTTCATTCATTACATAAGATTTGTATTAAATAATTTCTTCTTTTTTGGGATTATTTAACCTCCATATTCCATTTCAAAAAGAAACACGATTGTGATTACAAAACTAAGAGTAAATTTCTTTGTTAATCTCAGACCTGATTTTATGTTAGCTTTTGGACTTCTCTGAGTCCGTCATCAGGTGAGGCTATATAGTCGGCTATTGAAACTTTCAGATTCAATTCACACAAACAGGCGATTGCAGTTTTATGATCTTGCCTATTAACTGTGAACTGTTATTTCTGTTTACCTTTTTTTATCGTTTCTGACTTCACCTGATTGCTTTCACTCCTTTTTTTTTATTCGCCACACCAGACTTATATTTGTTTATCCTTCACTCATTTTCTAAATAATTATTAACACTGATTTTATTGGTTGCTTTAACACTTGTCTTGTTCCTCCTTGCTAAGTTATTTTCTAGATTGTGTTCTTCGCTTGGTTAATTATATTTTTTTTACTGATTTACCTTTACGGCTTTCTAAATCACATGCCAGCTGTTTCTAACACGCTTTATTTATTGAAGTTCCCCCACAATAGACTCTCGAACGTGTTAACATTTGCTCAGTGTCAGTCGTAATTGACTTTCGCCTGCAATAATAGTTACAGGTGTGTTACACGGGGTGCTCAGGCCTCTCAGGCAAAACACGTTAAATAAAACAATATAATTATCGCGTATCTTATACACGAAACACTCCAGTTTTAAAGTTAATAAGTGGTAACTACTTTTTGTTGTACAGCATTAATAAATTATATATACTAACGTATAAATTATTTTACATTAAATATAACGTATGTTTCAAATGAAACAAAATAACTCAAAACTTTTGACACAGTCAAAGTTGCCCATTAGGTTCCAACGGCTTGGGATATCTGAGCAGAAACAGGGACGCATTAACAATTACGACGGATCTGTGCTAAGTATTGTTCCAAGCCCCACCACAGGCGTCGCTAGGCACTTGCACACGGGGCCTGTGCCCAGATTCTACTTGATAGTTTTTCGAATCGCCATTTGGTGTCTTGAACAATCAGAATAGAAAACCATGATCAATATCATACTGAAATGCTGGAAATTCCCGCGCCAATGAGCCTGAGCGATGTCTCTGAGCCTCACAGTGAGCTATTTAGTCATCGCTAAAACCCTAAAAATACGTTATAGAAGTTAAAGAGAGTATTTAAGAAATTACTATGACCTATTAACCAGCTCCTACAAAATTAGGGAAAATAATACTGTTTAATTATTCAGTGGTTTTGGCGAAATTGTTTAAAAAAGTATAAAGAAAATATTGGTAGTTACCTTTGAAGTTGTTTTTGGCACACTGATGTAATTCCTAATCAGGTTTTTCTGCAAAACGTTATACACTTACGACTGTCAGCCCCTGCATGACACCAAGATTCACTTTTTCAGAAACATTTCTATTAAATTTATTAAAGATGATAAAAATGCATTTGCTTCAAAAGGACTGACTAACCGAGGAGTTTATTACATATCAGTTATTTCTCGTTATGTGCATGGATATGTTGAAACAACATATCTTATTGCCAAGAGTGGTATACGAAGTTCTTGATTTTGTAGACTTGTAATAACGTTATTTGATTGGCTTACAGGACAAGTAATAAAGCTTCATGTCTCGTCCAGTAGGTAAGTAACACGAGGTTTATTGACTAGTTCGAGAAACAGGACTTCTTTATTTGTCCACGCAGTCGAGATTCAGGGCATTTTGATTAGCTCCAGCAGAAGAGTAACAAGGCATCTGGTTTGATTAGTTGGCGCTGTGTTTGCAACGGACAAGCATATTATAATTTACTGAACTCTTAAGAATTTGTCTCTTTTATTTCGAAAAAAACATTTAACTGGAAAGCTCTTAATAAATATGATTAACAAAATGTATTATGATATACTTACATTATATTCCATGTTGCTGTAAATTATTTTCAAATTGGATTTTTTAAAGATTTTTTTTATGTGATATTACCTCAGTCTCGTAATATACAGGAAACTGTGGTTCACGCCGTCGTAGCTCATGAATAAGTTCCTAATTTCAATATATTTTTTTTAATCGTAGAATTCATTCATACAGAATTTTGTCACATATTAAAAAAACAAAAAAACAACAAAAACGGCTGCACTATATATCTTAGATCATATAATAATGAAAGCATCATGTACACCATTTGAAGAACCTTGTATAACATGTCGTTAGGTTATTTGAAGAAGCTAAACATATTTAAACTTACAACTTACCATTTCATTGAGAAATATAGATCTTAAAAATAATCATATGTTGACTGAAATATAAAAGGCTTTTATCTCTTTTCTTCCAAGCTATACTTTTGTAACTGATGTATATTTTCTTGACATAGGTAAAATAAACAAATAAGACTGTTCTAGAAAGTTAACGCCAATAGTGTTACAAAAGATTTGTCGTAACTCCTATACTCTAGGGCCACTTGTCACTTCCCATTATTTTCTATTAAAGAAAGGTAAAGAAAAATGTGTATATTAACTCCAAAAACACGACATTTCTTCAAATGTTCAGTTCAAGCTAAGTAATTACGATGGTCCAATAACTTAGCAACTTTCACCAAGCCAACTTTCATTAATAACACAGTAACTTTTACCAAGCCAACTTTCACTTCTAAATTAACTTTCACCATACCAAATTTTATTAATACCTTTCAACAAGCCAAATTTTATTAAGAACTTACTAAGTTTCATTATTAACTGAGTAACTTTTACTGATAACTTAGTACTTTTCACCAAGCCAAATTTCATTATTAACTCACTAACTTTAATTATGAACGCATTAACTTTTACCAAGAAAATTTTCATTTAGAACTTGGTAACTTTTCACCAAGTCAAAGTTCATTAATAACTCATTAACTTTCACTAAGCCAATTTTCGCTAATAACATTTAACTTTCACCAAGCTAAATTTCACTAATAACTTATTAACTTTCACCAAGCTAAATTTCACTAGTAACTTATTAACTTTCACCAAGCCAACCTTTCATTAGTAACTTATTAACTTTCACCAAGCCAACCTTTCACTAGTAACTTATTAACTTTCACCAAGCCAAATTTCACTAATAACTTATTAACTTTCACCAAGCCAAATTTCACTAATAACTTATTAACTTTCACCAAGCCAAATTTCACTAATAACTTATTAACTTTCACCAAGCCAACCTTTCACTAATAACGTATTAACTTTCACTTGTTGGAGAATGAAAATATTTTCACCTAACAAACGCGAACCATTTTATTTTCAGTACTTTGCTCTCAATTCAGTATACTAACTGCATTTATATAACGATAAAAATATTATATTCAGTTTCTCTCTTATCGATATTAATTGATTTATAGAGAAACAAGCCTCCTGGAACATGCACAAAGATACAGGGATTTATTTAATATATAACTCAAAATATTTATCAAGGTAATAATTTATGTTTATTTCTCTATTTGCGGCTTCTATGTTTTTGACCTTCATTTTAGTATTACTTTCGATGGATGAAATCATCAACAGGAAACGTTTCTCTATGAACTTTGCATTCATCTTACAGAGAGAAGTGCTACATTGAAGGACCTCGAAGAATGTCAAGTAAACTTATAATATTAAATATAAAAGTACGAAGCTATTATAGTTTTAAGGGATCCAATTCATGTTAGTGTTATTTTCACGACACTAGATACAACACAAATAGCAATGATTAAAATAAAAATTCACTGTGAGTAGAACAGCTGATATATCTGTGCCGTTAAAAACAGCACACAACTCATCATTAAAAACATTTCGGTGACATTTGAGTTAGTATATAGGTAATAAAACGTTTCCCTCAGAGACACTAGATCAGTGAAAAAGGCTTTGAAAATATTTTAATAATTATTACATTAATCTATGTAGAATTAGAACTAACTATTAAACTGTGAAATAATGTGTTTAGATGTATTCCACGTGTTATATCTAGTGTTAACTGACTGCTGCAAAAATTTTATCTCGTGTTTAAAATTACAAACCTGTAAATAAATAATAAGATGCGGACTTTCATGCTGCTTGGTAAACTTTCAAATGCGTGACAATTTGAAATACACTATCAGCTGTCCAGCTATTTTGAAATATATTGTGTAATACCAAGCACAACACCGTAGTAACACAGTATAATGTACACCGAAGCACCCAGCAACAACACTATAAAATAATTAACACTTTTTAATTTCCACATTGTTTTCTTTAAGTGCCGACAATCTCAGTTTACTTGGTATGTAGTTTTATGGTTGGAAATGGGTCTATAGTGTGTCTCATACGGTTATTTTGATCCATTCTTGCCAATTGTGTTACGCGAGAAATTTCAGTGAGTTGTTAAAAGTTTGCCAACTCTACGTATATATAACTTTACTAGACTTGTTAAGTCACCATCATACATAAATCCTTTTAAACATTTTTATTATTTTCAATTTAACCAGATCTGTTTAGTAATTATCAGGGATTAGTCGAAATAAACGATTTATTACACTAGGGTTTAATGCAGAAGAACACTTAATTGCTATGGACTCTTCTGTCTCCAACATTAAGTTTTGATTTAGCAAACCTGTAGTAAACATTTTCAAGCTGAGTCTGGCGTTATGATGTTAAGAAACTGAACAGTTTTCCATATGCTTTACATATAAAGTAGGCAAGTTTTTACTTCACATATATATATCCATCCTTGCGTAACAACTCAGACTAAAAATCACATTGATACATAACAAAACCACCAGATAGCCTGAAATTGACTGAGCTATGAAAATTGTGCTCTTTTTTTATCAAAACTTTTGGTTAAAAAGCAAAGCGCCCTTATCTAAAAGATTACTCTGCTTAGATATACAAAATTACCAAGGATAATTCTTTCTCGTTTCTTAAACTGTCATGTAAGCAAACAGTATTTACAAAAGTAACTCGAAACACTTCCACGGATAATAAATACATCGATTCAAGAAACAAAAACGCGCACATTAAATAGACAAATCCCTCATTTCCTCAACGACTTTTTATGGCACTAGAAAACATATAAGAAGGAAAGGGGAGTACAATTCCTACAAACTACTGTTTTACAATTCTCAAATACATTCTATACAATACTAATCTCTCGGCAATTAGTAATTTATATCAGCAATAGCTAATTCTCTACAGCTAGACTAAACTAAAGTCACCTTCTTTGTTGATTGTAGTTTATGAATATTTCACGGGAGTTCAGGCACGTTCTGCCCCAAATGATTGATATTTTACACGTCACGTGATGTCTAAAGCTTATCTTGTTATACAAGCGGTAAATTATGACATGGTGGCAAAAGAAATATTTGGTAGATTGCACACTTCATTTTGTGTTTCGATATTTATTTCACTTTGTTTGCGCTCAATATTACTTGATAACCGTTTGGGAAAGATGTTACTTGGTCACACGCACATGCACTCAATAAAAGAGATACTACTAATAAAATATATTTTACTACTCAGACTAGAATCACTGTCATTAAGTTGATTTCAGCATTCCACCTGTTTTCTTACATAATTTCCGGCAATACAAAATTGTCGTTTTTAAAACAAGGTAATTATACTTCATGTGTTTCCATAGCACTCAAAACCAATCTCCATACCAAACCAAGATAAAAGAAAACCATAAAGTACAGTTTACATGCCAAACACACCTGTAAAACTCACCTTGTATAGGTAACAAGCTCGTGCACGTTCAACGTTTCTTCGTAAGATTTATACTCACCCTATTTTTTGATATAACATGAAATCATATATCCATTTTAACGTATTCTTACGTTACGCCCCACTTTTAGAAAGCATCAAATCCTATTTTGTTTTCCAACCTTTGCAAGCTAACTTTTCTGGAGGAGTCAGTTTATGGTTCCCAGTTTGTCACAAGATTTTATTTGCTAGTAACAAAACAAAAACGAATATTTTCATTATAAACCTCCAAGTCTTTAAACAAACTGCAATTGGTCTGCCCAGCTCCTCTAAAAGGGTTACCCAATAAATGTTGGGATAAATTTAGAAAATTTCTTTTCATGAATTGTGAATATTACTCTAATGAGTACACAAAAAAATGTCTGAAAATGCTTCTTAAATTTTAATTCACCTTAGTTTATTTTATCTAACCCCCCCAAAAAATATTCATTTTCTTTAGCCAGAAATGTGGAATACTGGGAGTTAATTACCATTGAAAACTCACATGGAAATAAATATATATATATATATATATGATATTAATCTAAATAATTATGTCTTTGATTCGAACCCACTGAGACTGAAATTCACACACATAAAGGAGAAAAATATTATAAATAAAAGCAATTAATCGAATATAAACAATTATATATTTCTTCATATTCATTTTAGTGTGAGTTTTACCAGAAGATCTCTTACCTTAAATCCAAAAGGGTAATAAATAAATAAATATTTTTTAACTCGATAAATGCAATTTTTTTCTTATTTCAAGCCTGCATACGTAAAATTTTCAAGATATTTATTTACGATCCGTTAGATAATTTTTCTTTATTTAAAATGTAACAAGCTCTTGCACAACCTATATTTATGAGATCTATATAAAAACAAAAAGCTTAAGCACGGTAAGCTAACCATCATCAAGATACATTTGTCTTCTACATGACTATGAATAAAACCGTTGTTAATAAGATAAGACAAGGCATCTGTAACTAAATTTCACATATCACTGAACATCTTGTATGTATATATTTATATATAAGTGTGTATATACAATTTTTTCTATGCACTACATTTCATTTTCTCTCCCTCCTTAACATTACATGGTATCTCTTGAATTAGGAGAGTTGACTTGGAGAAGGATTTAGGTTGGAAAATCAACACATTCTGAAGAACTCCAAAGGCTTTTTGTTCTTATTTAGTATTGGCAAAGTAGCCTTATAAAGCACTGAAATTAAGCAGTTTTAATCAAAGAAGTAAATTTTTCTGCTAAAAGCTACGTTAAAATAATTGGAATTAAATCCAATACCAAATCAGCTCTCCAAAGACTAATATTCCATGGGTGAAGGGGTCTAGATGAATCACAGAAGAATCAGGGAAAGTCATACAATCAACCAGGCACCTCTGCCAGATAATCCTAACTGGTGGTCATTTGGTCATTGATTAGCAAGAGAAACCAGCCAGGTATCAGGAGAGGAGAGGAAAACATTCTGGTTATTGAATATATCCCGAAAAACGTCTGCTTAGTGGCAGAAGCAGTTGGTATCATAGGATTTATTGCACCTGGTATTGCTGCATGGGATAGGCACCAAACACTCCAGGTTGTTGACCAACAGGACTCTGAACAGCAGCTGCAGCGGCCATTTGAGGCTGTCCTGGAATTCCTTGCCATGCCATCTGAACACCCATGCTGTTAGAAGAAGAGTCTTCAATAAGATGGCAGTGTCCTCTGTGTTGCACCAAACATATGCAGTTGTTGAATATATAAATTAAGTTCTTGTTGCATTAAATAAGTGTCACATATTTGTAAATGCTAATTTTAACAGAAGTGGAATCTAATTAAAAAAAACTAACTTTGTATTTTGTAGTAAAAAAGATATAATATATTTATGTATCTATTTCTTTATTGAGATAAATTTTAAGTAAATTTAGTATATAAAATAAGTACTTTACAACTTAAAAACAAAAGCTCCTTCTTAGTTATATTTTAAAAAATTATAAATTTATATATTTTATATACAGAGATAAAACTGATTTTTTACAGAAGAAATGTTCTACACTACAACTTCTCTCTATTAAAGAATTTTGGATTCCTTTTTTTTCATTTCTGACATAATTTGTTGCCTTGTTTTAGATATTTATAACATTCACTGAAGACAAAATATTTTTATTATGTACAGGAAATGGAACTTCCTCCAATAAAAAAAAAGGCATCTAATTTTGAAAAAGTATGTCTCGTTTGAGAAACAAGAGCTTAACTACATATCATGTAATATCTAAAATTAAAATTAACAAACTGATGTAACAAAAGAAAATAAAACAAGCAGCTAACAATTTCTATATTAAGAGGGCCAAAATAAATATGAAGAGAGCACCAACTACAAGCACGAAATATAAAACTGTTCCTTACCAACCAAAATTTTACACTGATAAAATTCACGAGCACATGCAAACATCTTAATACAATATACATTCTTTACCACGATTACTGACGAAGAGTGTGCTGTCATCTTGGGTGATGTGAGGGAGGGTATGGTAGTTGTATTCTCCATCCTGAAGTTAAACTTACCCAAATCCTTGACCATAATACTGTCCATATGGATACTGCATCCCTTGCATAAATTGCCCTTGAACTGGTGGATATCCTTGAGGATACCAATACCCCACCTGTTGGTAGGGGTATGTGTAGGGTGCTGCCAGGCTCTGTAGGTAATGAAAATAAGTTCTAATTTAGTATAATTGTTTGGTATCCGTATATCAGTATATTTTCATACTCTTTTTCTTTTAATGTATACACTTTTGCTTTATTATTGCGCTTTAGGTAAAATAGCAGTAATAAAAACATTTTATAGTAGTTTCAGAGAAAATCATAAACAGGGCCAATCACGGGACGTCTTTTGGAGAGGGTTAATTACACTCAATAAGTGCGATTTGCACATGTAAATGTAAGAGTGTTTCACTGCAAATGTGAGCCCTGGCACCACAAGTAACATATTTAGCACCTATGTTTTTCGTTCATAGTAAATTCCCAACCACTTAACAGTGTAATGTCCCCTAAGGTAGATTTATAACTGCAAGATATGCCAAGATCTTTCTGAGGAAACTTATTCCTATAGCGAGATGATTAAGTGATGTAAAACCAAATGATATAACATTTCAAAAACAAAATGAGTTTTCAATGCTCTCCTTGGAAGCAAAGAAGGCTGCACAAATAAACATTTAGGGCAGTAACAAGTTCTCAAACCAAGCCTAATCTGGAGCAACACCCATATTTACAAAGTGGAAAACACGGTTACGAAAGAGAATCTTCTGATCCAAACTTTCATTGTGGTGAAACTAGAAATATCTCTTGGTGCTATTAACAAGATGATAAGAATTTGAAATGATGAAGGCTCATAGCCAGAAACTCACAATTTTCAAGTAACACTTCAAAAATCAACAGCTGTTTTCATAAAAAAAAAGGTGTCAAAAATATACGGAATCATAGAAATTCCATTAAATCTCATAGTTATAAAATACCATGATACAACTAAAATGGACTTTTGTGCCTTTAGTCTGTTTAAACGTAGTATTGGGAATTCACGTGTGGTCTAAGTTTGACCTTTTGTCCTTCCCAGGTATTTGCTACAATAGATATCGTGTTGTTAGGCGTGGAACTGAGCATGATTAACAAAAGAGGAGGTAATTTCAAGGATAACATAGAGCATAGAACATCATTCTTATTAATTTCAGTACTTTGATAAAAGGCGTGGAACTGAGCATGATTAACAAAAGAGGAGGTAATTTCAAGGATAACATAGAGCATAGAACATCATTCTTATTAATTTCAGTACTTTGATAAAATCTGCTGTTAAGTAAAGTTTACAATATTACAAGGTTAAGGAGCTATTATTCTACAATAACTGTTAAATCTTACTGGTAACTAAACTTGCTCGCCAGTTGGTTAGGTAAAATATAAGCATTTTAGTACAATTAGTTTGTTTCAAGTATAGAAATAAAGCAAACAAATTTGTTTCGTCTTACTTAATACTGAGTATAATTATTTAAAAGACAAAACTATTTCGTACCTGGGCTGGTTGCTGATTGGTTGGATCTGACGATTCCTTGCCCCATGAACATTTGACAATTTGACCATTTATCTCAGAATTGTGATTTCCCACAATGGCATGTGTTGCTGCTTCTTTAGTTGCAAATCTTTCACAAAATAAAAGAAAAGGTTAATCACGAGTAATTGCAATTTAAAGTTGAACACACTGAAAATTTTTCTAGGCTAGTTTTGAAATAATACGAAGAACTTGTGCATCCGACATTAAGCTAAAAGTATAGTAGCACTTGCATCACCATTGTGAGATGTATAGCTATGCTACAGAGAAACACTTCCCATCTCAAAACCTTATTCTACAGTCAACGAACATGTATTCCAAATCTATTAACAACAATGTTTATTTCAGTTGTTGCACTAAGCTTCACAAACACATGAAAAGACTTGTTAAGATTTGTAAAGCAAGGTTGGGCATTCTTTGATTTCTTTCAAGTTTGTAAGAAATCCTATTGACCTCTTCTGTCTTGTGGTGGACACAAATATTGTTTGAGTATCTACAGTGAGGGCCAAGAATACGGGTAGAGCGTAAAAACTTGAAAACAAACTAATTAAAGTAAAACTTTTTTATAGTAATAAAAATGGACTAATGTTCCACCAGGTTGGATATAAGTTGGAGTAGCATCTAAATTTATAGTGCATAATGTCATGCATAACTATTTATAAACCAAATACATGTGCCTGGAAAGATATTTATATTTTTACGTCTGTGAATTAAATAACCATTTAACTTAATATATTTTCAAAGTATATTTATCAACCCTTTTTTAACCTACACCAGTTGATAAACATTGTTTGTTAAATGCTACCAGGCCATTTCCTACATGTCGTTATCAAATAACTATTTTAAAATCATTTAAAGATTTACACTAAGCCAAGTTTTGTTAAGTATAGTTCCTTTTGATTTTGATTCCATTAATTTGATTTATTAACCAGATTCTAAAATAACCAATTATGACTATAACTAAGAAAATAATAACTTCAAGTTCTCACTTCAGTTATGACTGTGAAATTATTTTTCTTGATGTTTAACAAAATTTTTCAACTAACTTGAGGAATATATCACTACACAATGGCTATAAAATCAAGTTCAATCAAATTTTATGGATTAATTCATAATGTATGTTTTGTATATTACATGCGGATGTTGAAATACGAATGGTGTAAATAGCAATTATTCCATACCTGATAAATGCATAGCCTTTGTCTTTAAAAACTCGTATTTCTTGTATAGGACCAAAGGCTTTAAATGTCTTATGGATGAGTTCATCTATTAAAAAAGTCATTAAATATTTCAATAATATCTCTAAAACTTGTAAATTAACAACAGTATGACCATATTCATTACTATTACTTAAATTATGTATAAGAATTATTAGAAAGTTTGTCAAGTTGCCTATTATCTATTATTCCACTTTCCTGTTACAAGAAAGCTGCTATAAATGTGTTTACATATTTATACCATGTTGGAAATTATATATTTTTTATCTTAGCTTACATTCAGAAACAAGGTATATATGAGGGTTGTCCGAAAAGTTCATGGTCCAACCTAAAAACAACTGGAATGTATGATTATATTTTTTCTGATGATTATTAAGTTTGAATATTTTTTTGAGTTAACATATGTAACATAATCTAACGAGCTTATTTTGTGTGTTGCGAGTTTTTGATGGAAATAAGTGAGAGATCGAACTTCGTGCCGTGAACAAATATTTTGTTAAAAAGAAAAAAACACTACAAGAAATCCACCAGAACATGGACACAACATTAGGAGAGGGTGATCCAGTATATTCAACAGTGAAAAAGTGGTGTACTGAATTTAAGCATGGTAGACAATCATGTGAGGATGATCCTAGGTCAGGTCGGTCCTCGACACCAACCACAACAAAAATTGTAAATAAACTTCATGATTTGGTTATATAAGATTGAAGAATTACCATTGGAAGTTAGCTGAAGAAGTGGGAATTGGCAAAATTACTGTATCAAACATTTTGAGTGACTGTTTGGGCATGAGTATGGTTAGTGCTAGATGAGTTCCAAAAATGCTGTCACCCGAGCATAAGCCGATCCAAGTTATTAGAAGCCAACACCTACTCCTAAGGATTCGATAGATTCGTAACTATGGATGAAATGTGAATTCACTACTTCGACCCAGAGACAAAAATACAAAGTCTGCAATGTAGACATCCAAATTCATCCACCCCAAAGAACTTCAAGACACAACTCCCTACTGGGAAGGTCATGACATCAATTTTTTTGGATGGCAAGGGCGTTTTACTAGTAGATTATTCGGAAAAGGGTCAATCCGTTACATGAGATTACCATGCATCAGCAATTTGCGTCAAGAAATCAAAGAAAAAAGAAGAGGACTGCTGAAAAAAAAAGGTGTGCTCTTCCATCAGGATAATGACCCAGCTTACAAATTGCGTGTTGCTTTAAACGCTAGCCATGATGTCATTATGCTGGCTACGAATTACCCAAGCGCCCTCTTACTTATCAGATGTAGCTCCTTGTGACTTTTTCTCTCCCCTAACCTTAAAATCTTTCTGAAAGGTCGAAGATTTCAAATTGATGATGATCTCGTATATAACGTCTAGTCATGGACTGAGGATTAAGAAGAAGAGTTCTTTCAGAAGGATATCAAGGCTTTAGAGATAGATTCAGGAGGAGATTGCATTGAAAAATAAATTATAGTTGAACCTATGTCTCTTTTCTGTATAGGTCTGGCCACGAACTCTTCGGACACCCGTCTTACATGATACTGATAGAAAAAAAACTATATTTTTGCATTGTGAAATATAATTAGAAGAAAATATATTTATTTATATACAAGTTGAAACATCCTTTGATGCCATAAAATATGGCATTAAACATATTTTACTTTAATCTTAAACATCAACCTGGCATGTAGTGATACAAAAAATCTTGCTATGTTGCATGCTGATTGAATGTTCCATAACACAAAAAAGCTCTCTGGATCATCAAAATATGGTTGGTAACAACTTAAAAGAGGGCATTTTTAAAGAGTCACGCACAGGTAAAAGACTATTGTTTGTTTTGTATGCTATTTCTGACAAGGATATTTGTTTCAACTAAATGGGATAAAATACCACTTTAAGTTTGAGTTTAAGCTTGCAACTCTGCTGGCTTGATGAGTGAGCTCTCTCTGGTATGGAATGAAAGACCTTTTCAGTAGTGGCATTTAACAAACTATACTTGAAACATTTATAGATTATTCTTAATGGATATTCACAAAGGACTAATTTAATATGATATATTTAAATTATCATTAGTTTTATTGTAGTACGTTGACACACTTGTTACCTTAAAAGGGTTCATGCTTTGCTAGGCACAGTGTTGAAACTAAATAATAAAAAATATATACTGTTTATAACACAGAAATCTTGTTAAAATAGATCCTTATTTGAAATGTTCAAAGCTCAATAAATGTAAATATTCCTTATTACCAGTACTTTAATTAGTAAATGAGTTTCAAATATCTTCATTAACACAATGACTTAAAATTGTTTTATTAATGACCATTTTGAAATATTAAGAGACTAATTTTATATATTTTTCATACAAGTTCTTGTATATCTCACAATATGTGTGTTAGCTGCACTCTAATTCTTTGAAAATGCTTTTCCACTTAATCAAAATCTCATTTAATAAATATTGCAGCTAAGGTTCACGTATATTAATACTCTGTTCTTATTGACCATATATTTATGTCTCTGTTAAATTAAAGTTTACCTAATCCTTAAACTTACAGAGTACAATTAATGGGTAGTACATTACTTTAATGTCATATCAAACAAACCTTCTCAATTACAATCAGTTATTAGGTCCATCCTAATTGCAGATTGGTTTGTAAAAATAAAAGCACCGCCAATAATTGAAAGACAATTATGTTCATTGCTGGGAAACTTTGTCGTATATATCCAGTGAACAAATGCTAATACTTGGACTATAATTGTCATTTATAATTTGCAGTTAATGTGGTATATTCAGATGAACTGAATTAACTTTAGAGCTATATGGGATAAGTCAGGTAAAGAGGAGATTCATTCAGCATATGCAATTACGAAACAGTGCTAAACTTGTACTGGCAGAGTTTAAGCTAAAGAATAAACAGATTGGATGCAAAGTAGAAAACACAATGAAAACAATCGTTATTAATACTTAAGACAAAAACACAGTGTGTGTAATTGCTTATGATGAACTGTTGCTATTTCACGAAGTTTTCTAGTTCAAGACCTGGTGAAGGCCAGGTCAAGATTGACTAAATACAAGTTTTTAGCTTGAAAAAACCGTTCATTTACCCAAAGAAACATGCAATACCACGTGACTGGTCATTCTCATTCCCTATAGGGTGGCCATAACCTCTATAGATATTACCTGCATAATCATTGAATACACTACTATAAACTTCCTGAAACAAGGTCACTGTAAGCAATGTCCTCTACGGGTAGTGAGAGGTATTAGCAACTTTGAAAATAACAAAGGAACAAAGGTAACTTGAAGCAAAATCAACTTAGCGGTTTTCTTGACTTTGTGTTATGTGAAATCTGCATATATTTTAAATAAAAATAAATACATTTAAAGTCCATAATAATATTATAGAAGGAAAAAATAAACAATAATGTATTCCTATACCACAATTTCCTGTTTTCCTTACCTTAGGATTGTCCCACTGATATTAAATTTGACTTTAAGACCAACCAATTTTAAACTCGTTCTGGTCAAGAATTACATTAACCCTTTCTGACTTCCAAACAGTTAAACATCTCAAAGATGTCACAACCCTTAAACAATGAGATTAATGTACATAATCAAACCTTTTATTATAGGAAGTACAAACCAAATTACATGAATACATATTTTAACTAAGAAATTACACATTATACAAAAGTAAATTCTTTAAAAAAGAAACTACATGATGATGCAAGTATAATTTAAAATGAAACTCTTTAACATAGATGTAAGTACACACAGCACACTAAAACAAACACTTTAACAAAGAAATACATTGCAAAATATCTTAACAAAGAATTCACATTTCAATTTTACAACAGAAAAATAACCTTTAATACTGATAAGTAAAACGTTAAAGGAATAATATGCGATGATGCTTAACATCCCTTATACAGTACATACTAAAATTGCAACTGTAAGTTGACATAACCCAGAACACAAAATCAGATTTCAATTCGTAGTACAACATTACATTACAAGCCTTTTACAAAAACGTACAATAAACAGAAATACGTCACATAATTAGAATCAACAGAAGAATATCACATAATTACAATAAACAAAAAAAACATTATATATTTACAATAAATAGAATTACCATTTAATAATGATAATATCACAAAATTATAAAAAAGCATTAGTTTAAAATGAAAAAAATGCAGAGCTTTATATATATAAAGGAACGACTATATTTTCACACTCATGCAAGGCAGCTATTTTTACCTTAGTCTAGTAAGCAGATCTCTAAGCATGGTTGTTGTATTCTTATTGGCAGCTGATGTCACTCTGTTGACTTTTTGCACCTTGACCAGGGCCCTCTTCTCAGTTGCTAACTCGGCTTATAGGTGCCGCTTCTCTTTGTTAAACAGTGACAAAAATGTTAACCTCTGCCATAACTAGTTCTCTTCACAGTTGCTAACTCGGCTTACAGGTGCCGCTTCTCTTTGTTAAACAGTGACAAAGATGTTAACCTCTGCCATAACTAGTCCTCTTCTCAGTTGCTAACTCGGCTTATAGGTGCCGCTTCTCTTTGTTAAACAGTGACAAAGATGTTAACCTCTGCCATAACTAGTCCTCTTCTCAGTTGAAAAAGGCGCAGGCCCTCATCCATCTGTCTGCTATTTCTGAGTTACTGGAGGATAACTATCCTGTGATGGTGGTTTGCTAGTTGGAAAGCAATTCAACTATGTCTATGAGCTCCTGCTGGGTCACCTGTTATACCTTGTTCTTTGGAGGCTCGACAGCTGCATTCATAGGTGCCATAACATCTCTTGGTAGAAGTTCCGAAAGTTGCCACTCCATTGTTGACTCTAATGGATTGGATTGCAGTTTCCACTAATGGAAACAATGATTTTACTGACATCATGTGCACTGATGGTGTCTAAAACAGTGAAACATCTTTGTTGATGTTCTAGATGGCATAGTAGTAGTAATATTTTGCTTACATCTCTGGCATTCAGTTGGCACTTGAAGAGACTTCAATTCCAAGAAACTCATTTTTTTAGGCTTAGGGATGTATTTAGTGTTACTGGTGTGTGCTTGCAGGACATTCTTTGATGGGACATCTAATGAGAGGCTCCTTTTGGTCCAGTGACTGCCACTCAGCTTTTGGGATGACAGCTATCATCTCAGTTATCAAGGTGGGTTCCACACGAGTTTCTGGTTTCTCTACATTTTCGTCTGGCCAGGGCTTGGCGGTATTGGCTAGAACTTCTTTCCAATGACAATGCTCAGCCACTGATTTAGCGAGATCCCTAATGCCAAATGCACCAGGTAGCAACACATCTTCATACATGGTCTATGCTAGGTTGGCAGTCAAATCAGTTCCATGGGTCCTCAGGTCCAAGGAGACATACAAATCTCCGCTGAACAAAGAGCTGGGCCCGGCATGGCCAGGTGGTTAGGGCACTCGGCTCGCAATCTGCGGGTTCGAATCCCCGTCACACCAAACATGCTCGCCCTTTCAGCCGTGGGGGCGTTATAATGTGACGGTCAATCCCACTATTCGTTGGTAAAAGAGTAGCCCAAGAGTTGGCG